ATAAACAGGTGAAATCAGGGCAGACAACTAAAGGTAAAATGGATTTTATTTATTTGTTCTTAATCCAGGCAAACTGGTACTGATATCATCATGATTCAGCCAAATACAATAGATCTTTCTACAAATGTTAGAGTAAGGAACAATTAAGGGATTGTAATAAAACACAGAGCCAAAAGGGGCAGAGGAAATCGATGAAGTGCATTCTAGCTTATCACTTCACCTGAACAATGGAGGTTTTAGTACCTCGTAAAGCCTCCGAATCCTTCACACCTCTTTGTACTTTTTACCTTCTATTCTTGCAGTTAGATTCTAAATCCTAAAGCTATCCAAACTAGTATTGTGTCTACTTATCTATAGCCAGAGACATCTTCTATCACTATCATCTTGTGAGTAGCAGCCAAGGTTACCGGAACCTCTTTGATTAGACTCCCATCATTCCCCACCCCCAAATTCAATGCAATATGCACAGCGAGAACCAGAATATAGAGACAGAATACTTAGCTCTAAAACAAGAAAAACCCTACAAATCCTGCCCAGACTGAAACTGAGTAACACACGCATCTTCACAGATCTTCAGGCTGCATGTCCATTGAGTAATTTAGGAATGACTCCACGGCCTGTGGGGAGCTAAAATACTTAGTGGCTTGTTGTATTACATTAAGACTTTCTCCAGCAGCTTCCAAAGCAACTTCCAAATCACTGGCAAGAAAATTTTGCTGGAACTGCAGGCAGGATTGTAGAGTTTCCTCCCCACAGTTAAGGAAGGGGTTGTTCCAGGCCTGATTGTTCCAGGCTGGGGTGCACCAGGTCTGACTGTTCCAGGAATGGTTGCTCCAAGGCTGGCTGTTCCAGGTCTGGTTGTTCCAGGCTGGGTTGCTCCAGGTCTGGTTGCTCCACGCTGGAAGGTTTCCAGATGTGTTCATCAGGCACGCCTGGTGGTAGGAAGGGCAGAGGCCTGGGTATTCTGTAGGTGCTGAGGCCTTCTGAAAGACAAGGGTGGATTAATTGAAAGGGTACAAGGAAAACCAGAATTGTCTGTGGTTGGAGTTTTATGCTCCAGAGATGGATAAAACTAAAGGTAACTGAAAGGAAGGAGCAGAACAATAAAGTTCCCCGTTACCTGAACCTGAACCTGAGTCAGGCTGTTGAAATTCTTTGACCAGTTATTTTTCTGCCACCTCTTAGATTTCATTCTCTGGTTCTGGAACCAGGTCTTAACCTGCAGGAAGAAGTGCCAGGAATTATAAAATACTAGCAATGCACATGTACTTTGAATCAAAGAATATTAACTTTTATTCCTGACAGCTACAACTATCTAAAGCTCAGGAACAAAATTTGAAACTTTTTTAGTCTTTTCTTAAATCTTGAACCAATATTCTAATGAATGAATTTCCAAAGATCTCAAGTCAGTTGGCTGTTTTTCATTTAATGAATCTAGCCAGTTACGTAAGACCCACTGCAAATCTACTAACCAGAAGGCTCACATTCAAATGCCTGCTGACAGGCCCAGCACAGTGGCTCGAGGATCGCTTGAGCCCAGGAAAGTTGCAGTGAGTTGTAATAACACTCCCGCAAACAAGTACATTTATATTTAACATGATAAGGCTGGGCCCAGTGGCTCACGCCTGTAATCCTAGCACTCTGGGAGGCCGAGGAGGGAGGATCACTTGAGCTTGGGAGTTTGAGACCAGCCTGAGCAAAAGCCTACTAAAAATAGAAAAAATTAGCCTGGCAACTAAAAATAGAAACTAAAAGTTAGCCTGGTGTGGTGGCTCATGCCTGTAGTCCCAGCTACTCGGGAGGCTGAGGCAGGAGGATTCCTTGAGCCCAGGAGTTTGAGGTTGCTGTGAGCTAGGTTGACGCCACGGCACTCTAGCCTGGGCAACAGAGCGAGACTGTGTCTCACAAAAAAAATATATATGTATATATATTTAATGTGATAATATTGGCATTTCAGAGAAGGAATTGATAAATATATCACTAGAACTACTTAAAAAACATCTAGTTATATTCCAGCACACAATAAACTTAAACTTTCCAAGAGGGCTATAAACTTTTGAGTTAGAAAATAATATCATAGAAAGACCAAAAGATATATGTATGTTATATATAAAATCATGGAGTAGAGACTTTCTATGTATGGCACCAGAGATAGAAAACCATAAAATATTTGACTAAATAAAAATCTTGTGGACATCAATAAAGCATCATAAAATCAAAGTGATAAACTATTGATATAGGGATAAGGAGCATTTACAAATCCATTTTTATAAAAGTGAACATTTTAAATAGAAAATAAAGGCAAGAAAACTTTAAGGCAATTAATGAAAGAAAATGGTCTTTAACTACATGAACAATTATTGGCCTT